ATGGCTTGAACACCTCCCATGCCGTTGGCCATGTTTCCGGCATTCATCATGTCTACGGGGGTGAAAGGAGCTGCTGCATATTGGGTGAAGGAGAAATTGGCCTGCTGTGGCGACATGGCCTGCTGTGCAACGAGAGACTGTGCTGCAGCGGCCTGAGCTTGCTGGGCAGCTGCCTGCTGCGACTTGGGAATATAAGCGCAGCGATCCTTTCCGTAATTAACTCGTTTGCCTGCCCATGATGGTTCCGTGGGCAGGGTATTAACAACCTAATAAAATAAACCGATGGTCAAGGCACGCACATTTGACTGAGAGCTCAGAGGTGCTACTAACCTTGGTAGCAACGGAGATGCTCAAGAAATGAACAAACCCAATGTTCTTATCCCTGACGATCTTAACTTGGTCGATGAGACCGAATCGGCTAAGCTCGTCGCGAAGCTGCTCCTCTGTCATACCCTCATCCAGTCCGCCGAGATAAACATTCCGGCTGGCGTTACTCTGGCTGATAGCCAGGGCGACCTGAGCAGGCACAGGTGATGGTTTCCCCCAACCAATCTTCAACTCTTGGCCATGCAGCGACAATTTTTTGATGGTGGCGTCAGCGTGGAAGGCCGCGGCGGTAGCACCATCCAAGAAAGAGAGGAAGACACAGGACTTTTCCGGTAGGACACGGATCGACTCGAGAGGGCCGAAATGGACGAGATTAAGCAACTCGTCGACTGAGGCAGTGGCGGGAAGGTTCCCGACATACACTGTGCGTCCTGTAGCGTTTGATGAGGCGTTGATGGCAGCGGAGAGGGCGACGGGAGAGTAGGCTCCACCTCCTTGTGCGGAGGGGATGCCCATGTTCAAAGACGGCAGCCTCTGTTGAGCAAAGTTCTGCGAAAAATATCATTTTAGCCACAATGGCAGAGATAGCTAAAGATAGGAGTCACCTGGGCAAAGTTACCCATTTGTCCGTTATAGGGGAAGGCGCCAAGCATGCCCATGCCTGGCATACCCATACCCAACATGCTGTAGGCGTTGAAGGCGTTGTAGTTGCCGTTAGCGGTTCCTTGTTGTTGTTGCTGCTGTTGCTGTTGTTGCTGCTGCTGTTGTTGTTGCTGTTGCTGTTGGACAGCAAATGCTGCGGCGGTATTAGGGCTAAGCTGCGAGTTCATGACGCTCCCGTTAGCTTGAGTGTTAACAGAGAGGGAAGGAGTCGAGTAGAGGGGACTGCCAGCGAATGCGCCACCGTTTGCCTGGGAGTTGTTGAACGCAGGTTGGGCGATATTTGCCTGAGGACCATAGCCGTAGTTGGCGAATGCGTCCCTGTTAGAGTTATTTTGGCCAGCAGAGCCGTTATTCTGCCCAGAAAAGGCCGAAGTGGGAGACCAACGCGCTTTTTTAGCATCAGGGCCGCCAACGGTTTCCATAGAGCGCTGAGAGAGAAATTAGAGAAGATTCGCGACAAGAACAAGGATCTTACCTTCATCATGTCGATGTCAAAGGCGTAGGAGGGGTACTGTGTTGCAAAAGCTGTCTGGCTGTCGTCCATGGTAGCGATATAGGATTGAGGGTAGCGGAAAGAATGGATGGGATATGTATGGCAACGGCGGAATTATTGCGAAGAAAGGGGGAGAAGGTTGTTAGAGAATTGTAGATACTAATGAGTAGGGAGCGTGGTGGGCTGGACTCCAGCAAAACGAGTGTGGTGGTTGGGGCGAAAATAAAAAGACACGCACGCAAAAGAGAAAGAAAGTTCAACAAGGAGGGAATTGAACGAAGTCTCTGCGCTAGGAAAAGGCGCTGTGCGTGGAGGTCAACGACGAGAACAACGACGAAGACAAGAACGACGACGGCAACGACAAACAAACGACGAAGACGGCGACAACGACAACGAACAAGTCGTAAGAAAACCAAAACCAAACACTTTCCCATTCTAATCAACTCTCCCACACCGCCCTAGACGCGCACGGACCCCATCACACATCTGTCATTTTCCTTCTTTCCCTTGTTCCTCATCATGACTGTCAATGATGTTTATTCTGTTTTGCCCACACGAACCATGTCTCAAACGCATCGATTACAATTAGCACCGGAGACAAGAATCTCTTCAATTCAATCTCGGCGCGCTGCTTGGTTGACCCTACCACCGACTGATAACGTTTATCTCGGTTTAGGATTAGGAATTCGCGCGAGTCGCCGATCCGTGCTCAGATAATGTGCTGCGGACGCCACCTTCTTTCCTCAATGCGAGGTCTGATTCCGACCTTCTGTGGGCGGCTTTCTCTCGGGAAATGGGAAAGGAAAAAGAAAAGTGCGGACACATTTTGCATCACGCACGCTTTCGGCGTTTACTATATACTTATATGCGGACTTTTACATTATTGTCAGATGGCAGAGGTGGTACAAGAGATATAGGGAATATTAATCGAGAGCAAGAACAAGCAAGAACAGTAGCACCCTACGTAAATGGCGGAACCAAAGTTATAGTAGGCAGGTTCGAAAGCAAAGAAAGCAAATGCTATAACGTGAAGCTTCAATCCTTCATAACGTCATCCCCATACTCCTCGTGTTTCTCATCCTTGAACGCGTTAAAGAGTGGCGGGATGACGGCCCAAGGAGTAGCAACGGGATCCACTGCGGTGGGCGGACATCCTCTGGCAACCGACGACTGGAGATAACATTCCAGCCTCAGCTCCTACAAAATACAAGGACCAACGGTCAGCCTCGGCGTCTTGACAAAAGGAGATTGGAGTAGGCGCACCTCAAAGCTCCAGTGGGACAGGCCCGGAGTCGCAGTAATGCTCTGCAAGACGCGACCAGCCCCCCTATATCCCTGTGTCGTCCGAAACTGTGCCACGCGCTTGTTACCTGCAATGCGTCGCTGCGACTTGGGGATGTACGGGTGCCGGCTTGCATGGAAGGTGTCTCGTGACTTGTTCACCGACGCGAGGACAGCATCGAGATTGGGGTTCGGGCGCTCTAGGTCCTTCAATTCAAACTCGTACTTGACGAATTCAGTGAGGTAGATGGATGGCATAGTGTAGGTCTTCATTGACTTCGTCGACGGGGTTTCTAGGTAGCAGGGTACGTGTGAAAGAAGAGAATAGGAGGCTGAGAATTGTTATCTTGGGCGCTAAAAGAATATTTGGTGGCGTGATATGCCACAACAATCGCGATAGAAGGTGGAGACAGGTAAAGGTTGGCGAGTTCTGGGGTAATTGGATGACGCGAGCATATATATAGGCCACAAAGATATGATCAACGACAATATTTCCTGAGACGTGGCCCGCTGTAACACGAGGCAATTATAGTCGAAGATTTGGCCCCGTGGTCCGAGTCATAATGCGTTACCACCAAAAGCAGAAGGTGAAGGAAAGACAATGGAAATTGTCACGTGAGACAGTGAGGCCGCAAAAGCCTCCAAGTCTCTCCAAGTCCAACGAGAGATGGTGGACAGCTTCAGTAAGAGTTTTTAACGACTGGACATCACTTGAGCTTCTTGGCAACCCAGAATTCTGCCTTGTATATCCAACGCATCATGGCATCCGGGTCGCCAGTATACTCGCATTCGACCGTTTTCCTGGACGCACCGCAGCTTTCATCCGTCTCGATGACGAATCCAATTTCTTCGGCTGCTTGTAAGACTTCTTCGAGACTCAGCTCGACCTTTGCCTGGGCACCTCCAGTCCAGAGGAGTGGTCCAAATTTACCCAGGTACCTCCTGGGCGGAGAATTGAGTAAATATGTTTCATAGTCATGAAGACGTCGAGGGAGGTGTCGATGAAAAATAACGTCACAATGTAATCGTAACCCTCTGGAGTTCGGTCATTATCGTCTCTTGTCTAAGATAGAAACGTCATATTCTTACCTCGGTTGGATGGACTGAAGTCTCGAGAAAGTCTTGCTCGAGGAGCCGAAAGTTTGGACTAAGCCGAGGTACGACATCCGGGAATGATATACAGCGGAACAGCGAGTCGTTTGATCTCTGATGAGAGAACCAATGTGCGTAAGGACGAAGGGAGTGTTCGTTGGCAGACGTAGTGGTCGTAGAGGAGAGGAGAAACCGGAATGCCAGCGTCATGAAGAAGGACAGCTCATTCGCTGTCGTATCGAATCCTGGCCGTCACATTCAGCGTCATTTAGAATGAAAGGATAGAGGGTAGACTTACCGAGTTGAGCAATCTCCCATGCCAATCGCCCAAGACCGCAGCCAGGTACAAGGACCTTCATTCCTGCTCTATCACCCGACTCACCCCTTCATTAAACGAGGATGGGGGCAAATATACGCGTCCGTTCGGCGAGGCCCTCTTCGCTCCAGTCCCTGACAAAATGCTTCAACGACTCGCGTACTCGCCCAAGATCTGTAGAGTTGGTGTCGATGTCATTTTCATTCTCGAGAGACGGAAATTCATCCAGTGCCAACTCTGCTATCCCATCTGCAATTGTCGCGTTCAAACTTGTCACGTCCCGGAGTCTATCCAATTTCTTTGGGTACCCGATCTTGTATCCCAAGTTCTTGTTCGAGCGCCTCAAGGTAGCATAAGATGCGCGCATCTTATGTAGTTCATCTGCTGAAAGCCGGGCATATTGAGAGAATGAACTGTAAGCCCGTTCAAGTGAAAAATATCCGTTGTGCCGTCGTTTTCGGGAGCCTAGGGATAGAATTTCGCGTATGTCGGAACATGTAAAGGTTGGAAGATGCTTGAATCCGACGAACAAAAGGAACAGAGGAAAGACACAAGCAAGGAGGACATCAGAGGCCACGATGAAACGAAGGTCAGAGAAGCTCATTTCTCATCGCCAAGGCTACAGTAATTTCGGTTGGGAGTCCTATTCCGAGCATGTAAATGTCCCGCAACAGTAGCCAAACTAGAACCCGCCAAAATTCGAGCGTTGTCGAGGAAAGTACGATATTGAACGATGGGAATTTGGAGGAGGCGAAGTCGACGTCAAAAAGTTTATTCACAGAAGCGCTCTTGGGCTTGAATAATACAATTTATAACTATTGACATCAATCCGGTATGGTGTAACGGCTAACATTACCGCCTTTCATACACCTTGATTAAGAGAGCTGATCGCGGTAGCTCGGGGTTCGATTCCCCGTACCGGAATATTTTTATGGTTGCCTTTTGAGACGTGAACCTTGTAAATCGATGAGGCCGGGTTTGTCGCCATTTATTTTGAACCTGAGGCAACGCACGATGAAAATTTACAACCTATTCCCTGACTTTTTACGTTCAACCCATCCAAGCATCGATTGAGCTTGGGCTTAAGCCAAAGTGATAACTGAGACAACCTTGAAGGCCATAAGAGACCAGGAATCCAAAGAAAAGAAATTTCCTCCCCCACATGGAAAGATTAGAAATAACTTTGGTATGCTGCTCCAAATCTCTACGTAACGAACGGCAGAATAAAGAAATATATGAACTACTCTATAGGTTGCCTTTCTTAATCGTCTCTTCAGGTTTCGCATCTTCTAGCGAGAACCCAATCTTCCTGTCAACCCAGTCTCGAATCAAGACGCCTGCAATCGCAGTCAAAGGTGGGAGTCGGAAAGCGGGTTCGTCGTCTGATGTAGCATCGGGACTCTTGGCCGGAGTCATTATTGTTCTGGGGTCTGCTGGTGCCAATGCTCGCGCTGCAGGCTCGAGGGTGGGCTTCTGATCCGTGTTGCTGGGTCCATCGGCGATCTCTGCCATCTTCTTGTAGTCGGCCTTTCCGAACCTTGTTCCTGCACTGTTGTTAAGAACAGCTTCCACCTCCTCTCGAGTAAACCAGCGCGCATCTGTAGCAAGAAGTAAGACGATTTGTCGAATCGAAATAAAGCCTTTCATTACTAACCAACGAGTTCATTGTCTAAATCAGTCCGTATTGGTTTCGTGGAATCCGCCCTGGCATAGAACCCAACCATAAGATTTGCTGGATATGGCTATCAAAACACTTTCATTATTTTATTAGTAAATATTCGACATGGGTTTTGACTTACCCATGGCTGACCAGAATGATACTTTACGTTCCAGACATGGACACCCGCTTCTTCCCACATCTCTCTCGCGACAGCGTCTTCAAACGACTCTCCAGGTTCGATGAAACCAGCAAGAGCTGAATAAAACTTTCCAGGGAATCTCCTCTAAACTCCAATGTAAGTATGTGCAAATGTGTTTACTACAGAAAACGTACGCCTCTGCCAAGCAGGACTTGATCACCAGTTTCGTCGATGGCGATCATAATGACCACAGCATCTGTACGCGGATGAGTAAAATTATGCAAACCTTTCCTAAATAAAACGTCAGCTATCCAAAGAATGGATTTCATAGTTCCAATACTTACACAGTCGGACAAGGTTTCCTGTTGCTATTATCCGCCCAGGGTAATAGTGAAGTGCATGCGATCTTCCAACCACCCCACATGGAATACGTAGGCGACCCACAACCTGCGCAAAACTGGCATTCAAGACGGTAAGAGAGATGACGGATTAAAAATAACGAACAACTCACTTTGTTGCGCTGGTTCCAGTCGACGAGACTCCTGGCCGATGCAAAGATACCAGCAGTAACTGCATTAAGAGTCGACATGAGTGATCTAGGCTCAGCCCAACTTAAGATCTTTCCCTCTCGCCCGGAGTAGTTCCTTTCAAGATCTCTTGCAGTTGGTCGGGCGAGTAATCCAAATCCACGACATCCACGGAAAAGTAAGGTGTTCCTTCAAGTTTCTTAATGGCCTGTTCTGGATCGCTCAACTCGGAAGAAGGAAGAGCAGTGCTGTTATGTCCGGATTGCTTTTCGTGTAGGCCTAGGAACACAACACGAAGACCGAGATGTCTTGCGCTCTCTGTGGGCGAATGTTGACCATGATCGTGGGTTCTTTGTCCTTCTCCGACGACGAGTTGACCTTGCTCTTTCCCTTGCCCGAAAAATGGCTCCGGCCAAGGAATGGCTTGACATCTTCTGTAGTAAGATAGATCGGGGATTGTCTCGCTGATCCATCGTCCCTCGACGTTGTGAGAGGTTGCCCCGCGTTGAACAATAGCCATCGAGTCTCGGAACCGCGACGATGGCATTGAGGAAAACTTGGGACGGCGAAGCCATGACAGGCGATTTAGGGGGGACCCGCCATACGTGTTGACATGTCTGGAACTCTACGATTAGTCGTTCATAGTGCGTTGCATTTGACCTGTGGAAGTAAACGCACGTTTCTGGCATCTTTTGCGAACTATAGGTGTCAACAAGTGAAGAATTATGCGGGTTGAGAGGAAAGAGATAACTCCGGCCAACAGTGCGCACGCATGTATAGATATGGGCTAATTCATGATTGATAAGTCACGAAGGTCGTATTCGTCATTTTTCGGACTATTCCATGAGTAAGCCGGTGGTGTGAGATCGATAACCCTTGGAAAACAATCGCATTATGCAAAAGGCCTTGTATACCTTTGAAAGAGCACATAAAGCGTGTCAGAGCGGTTCTCTGGCTCTATGTTGCGAAGCAAGACATGGCATAGAATGACGGACTGAGTTCTCTGAGAGACAATCGCGGCACCCTGGTCGGAGTCTGAACTCCATCGGAGATTCAAGAACATTTATCTCCGACTCCGCCTCTTCGGTCCGCTCATGTCCGCAAGCTGTATTGTCTTGAAGGGCCTCATGTAGCCTCATGCCTCGTTTTCAGCAAACCGCGAGAGGTAAGGTTCTCATAGCCACTCATTGATAAGAAGCTAAATACCTCTTTACCTCTCCGATACAGACTCACCATTAACGTGAGGTCCTGCGCTACCGTTGTTGGTGCGGTGCCTCGATCATTGTCTCCAGAGCCAGACTTCTATTCGTGGCCGACTGTGGTGATAAGCTCCTGGTTTAAATACCGCTGGTCCGACGGTACAAGCTGAGAAGTAAGCTTTAATTTTCTTTCTAATACTTATTGTTAACATCATTGTCACTCTGCAGATTCCGGATCCCATCAGTGATCACAGCAAACATGACTTTTCAATGCGATGCATTTGACCAACAAATTGGGCTTACGAACGCGCCTTTGACCGAGCATGAAGCAAAGCATGTGAAATCCCGATACACTTGAGGCGTAATCGTGTTCTGGAAATAGACAAAATTCTTACAAGTGGGTCAAGCGCCCATCATGGACAACTCCTCGACGAACGCGCTCAGATTATCGCTGTCATACAACGCTACCGGATAGCGCTTTCTCCTCACAAACGGTTGCACGTTGAAATCCTACAAGGAATATTTCATTATGTCTCCGCCGGATACGACCAAACGCCACCCACATTCCAAGATCCGCCTCTGGTTCTTTGCAGGATCTGTTCGTCTTGGAGGCGCATAGCGATAAATATGCCAGAACTGTGGAAGTCGATACATTTCTCCGCTTACAGTCCCCTCACGCGACTACAGAAGCTTGAAGCTTCTCAGACTTGGTTCTCTCGTGCAGGAGAGTTGGGCATTTCACTGACATTGGCAGATACGCCAGATGACCTATCTCCAAGCATCGATTTTGTGAAGGAACTAATCTATCCGTTCTGTTGTAGATTCAAATATCTGCATCTTATTTTACAGCCTCCTCAAATTAAGGCTTTATTGTCCCTGCCTCCCGGCTCCCTGGACTCTGTGGAAGAATTCCACCTAGTTTACAACATTTACTTGCACCGACATCTCCCATTCCTGCTTGGGAATCCCCAATCACTTCGTTCAGTCCTTCAGCGAACCTTCGAAGAATCCGCCTCCAACTTACCCCCTTCGTCATGCCATATATCTTTACCTTTCCCTGGGACCGCCTGGAGTCGTTTAGATGCGATTCCAGCCTTCAAGCTGAACATTGCCATGAGATGCTCCTTTCATGCCAAGCGCTTCAGAAGATTCACGTTCGAGTGTTTGGAATCAAGTACTCCCCTCTTCCCACAGTCGAAATACCGCTTCCCAATCTTGTCAGTTTCTCGGTCCAACTTTGTGACCAGGAGAACTATGACCTCTTCTTCCTTCCCTTAATTCTTCCCGCACTTCGTTCTCTTTGGATTTATAATTACGACGGAGTAGCATGGTCACATGGAATGTACAATGGCCTCTTGGAGCGCTCTGGATGCAGCATAGAACATATTTACCTTGGAACAATCGACGCCGAGACACGCGATGTCCTTACGCTATTCCAACGTTCTCCCAGTCTTACTTCCGTCACCTTTTCCCACAATACAATAATCACCCCCGAGATTTTATACATGATTGGTCGAGGCGAGGTTGGTGGATCCTTGGTTCAGCTTTTCCTTAAAGGCATACACGAATTGGACCCCATCCTTACGATGCTAGAACTGCGACGAAGCGTTTCCTCAAGTAATACAGGTCCACGGGGAAACCGATTATCTGATTCCTCTCTGAAGTTTATAGAAACATATTGTACCCCTGGAGAGATTCTCGCTCATGCTAATCGTATCGAGAGTTTACGAGGCAGTGGCTTTGAAATTAGCTTGCTCAAGTCCGTCGAGGGATATTTTCAACTGTAACGCCAGACCACTCGAACTCGTGTTTACCCTGTACGAACTACAAATTATGATATAATTTCATGCTATCAGCGTAGACGCTGCTCAGATGGGAGGGGGGCCTCCGACGGCAGTCAACTCCTGGAAGACTTGCGAAAAGTCTCCATCTATGTCAACCCGAGAGGCTCGTTTGTCCTGGGTTGAGATTGTTAACCGAAGGATTTAACCAAGCTCGAACATAAGTACAAACCTGAGGAGACTTGTACCATACGGCCTGGTATTTCATTGCCTGCTGCGACCCATTCTTGAAGCGGTATGCGACCGCAAGGTTGACGATGATTTGCTCCTGAGATACTCGAACTAGATTACAAAATTTAAATTCCTGCTCTGAAAGACAGGTAAGTGTTGTCCACTGTACTCACTCTCTTGAATACTAGAGATAACGGTAAAAATTAAGACAGAAATGAGCTTCAGAAATGTGGCGAACGGCAAGAATCAAAAGGATAAAATTACCTGTGGTCGATACGTGCACAGGCTCCGTACTCCCAGGTGAATAATCGCTCCATTTCCGCTCTTCCTTTCAAAGACGAAACACTTGCGAAATTGAGGACGGCTTCGTCGTTCAAAAACGTCGGG